GAAGTTTGTTGTATGATCCTGTTTTGTTGCCATAATGCAAGAAAGCCAGCAAAGAATGAGGCAGGGGAGACACAAATTGCCTGCTAAGCAGAGTGGAAGATAAACCCGTACCTGGCTGGAGAGAACAACAGCAAAGAAGCGATGACAGTGGCAGTACCTGAAGACTCAGTACCAGTGAGGTGTGTGTAGGGCTGTCAAGAGCTATTGGAGAGGATTCAGCCCCACTGTTGAGGCCAAAGACAGCTGCAGGATGAGATCGTAATTCTGAGGAAACGTTCCATAAGAGTGAATGTAAAAGGTAAAAGAAAACACACAGAGCAGGACAGTGCCTAGCTCACTCAGCCTCAGAAAATCATGAACACTCGGGGGTGCAAAATTTGGGTTCAGGACAGAAAGGTGATGAACATTCATCTAGCTTTTACTATTTACATCAAAATACTTCCACTTAATGAATTCTTCTCAAACCAAGAGAGCAGACAAAAACAGTAGCCTGAGAAAAACGTTCCAATCCACAGTGGTGGGTTTGAGCCCAGCTATTTGATTTCTGCAATCAATTAATTCTAGTGAACTCCTGAAGAAGTCACTAATTGAAAAAATAACAGCAGCTAAGATAAAGTTAACAAACAATGTTCAGTCTCAAAATTTGCATAGCCTTTCCTGAAATTGTGCAGTCTGGACAGTTGCAACAGCTACTGAAAGTCAGAGTCCGCTAGGCAGAAAGCAGAAGCTCGTGACCTGTCTAGACAAAACCTGTGCCTCAACTACAGAACGTTCAAAGCAAACACATTGCTCGAGATCTGCCAACAAAGAATTATTTAGCAAATTATTTCAAAGAAGAGAGAGCATTTTCATAAAAAATAACAAAATGCTTCCTACTTCATAAACAGAAATTGAGGAGAAATTAAACCACCGAATTATCTGCTACAGTTTCCCACTGTAAGCACAACTGCTCTGATCTTCTTTAGCAAGTACACAGCTGGAAATGAGAAGCAGAAGATGGAACTGTCTCAGCAGCACAGGCAAAAAGATTTTCTGGAGTTTTCTTTCGCAAGGGCAGCCCGAATATCAAGCCTGATGTTTAATCAGAAGTACCATTGGCTCAGGAAGAAGAACTGAGAGGGCATTTCAAATTACTGAAATTGAAAAAAATCCACCATAACTCTTGGAATTCCCCCTTTAAAAAACAATGTCGATTTCCTGGGCCAGAAGTGCCTGGAAAAGCGTATAATAAAGATAGATGGTACATGTGAGGATTAAGGTTCCATGTTAAACACACCATAGATATCCCCTGTTGTTCTGTGATAAGCAATCATTTTTAAAACTTGCTCTCATCGCTGTATCATGTTTTCTGTCCAAGTCCACTCACTCTGAGGATGTTCTATGACGGATTCACCAGTTCTTGGTTTTGTTTCTTTTAGAGGATTTTGAGCTCAAAATGTTATGTTTGGAGCTTGCACTCAAAAGTAGCTCCCTTGAGCTCTATATTGTGGTAAAAAGGATTTCTCTCCGAGGATGGTAGCTCCTGTGTTGCTCGCTGCCTTGTCCCTTTTCGCTGTCCTCCCACCACCTGCGTAGGGTTGGAGAAAGGCAGCTGAGAAAAGCAAGCCCGGAATTCTTGCTGCTGAAGAAAAAACCATCAAAGCTGGAACATCTGGCCCCAGAAAACAGAGTCTATGTTTCTGATCTGCACTCTCTGTACTAAGCTCCTGGTGGCTGCTCCAATGCCCCCTCTCCTTGTACATAATGTGCCTCTCAGCTCTCAGGTTGTTAGCCCACTTAGCTCTACCTTCGTAAATAAACTACTCAAACTTCTGAGATTAAGGAGCATTTTGATGATGTGAGCTATCTAGAAGGAATATGGTGACCTTGATATGTAAAAAGCCGTGAGTCCTTCTCACAGAGAAAGCATGAATTACAGATCTTGACAAAACCCAATCTAAGAAAAATTCCGCCCTTTACCCATGAGACATCAGAGTTTTAATTATCTCTTTCAGAGTCCCTAGACTTTCCTTCTCTTGTATCTATTCTTGTCTGCTTATTCTAATCAGCGAAGAGACAGTGAAAACAGAATTTGTCCATCACTTCTGTCAGCTTCACGGTATCCTTCCCCACGTGAACTGTTGTTGGCTAGTGCCCACTTCAAATTCAGGCAGAAAAAATGGTTTCTCAAAGATTAGTCATCCTCATTAGCATTCCCACTGTACTGCTAAGGCAAAGTATTTAATATTAATGACCACTGATATTCCTGCACTGTTTGTCCTGCATTCATAGTGCCTGGTCTCAACATAGGGAGAAAAAGCAAAGGAACAGCACGGTCTCATAACCAAAATGGTGCACAGAAAACAAAATGGATTTTCTAATACAATATTCACTAAATCATGGAGAGTGATGAGCAAAACCTACAGTGCATGCAGCCACTGAGCAGTGGCAGTGGTTTAGTAAGCGGGAATCTGAGTCATTTCTGGATTAATGCTCTGACATAGTGCCAGGGGACACTGTGTTGCTGGAGATACCATTATTTCTCTGAGATGTTTTGTCATCTATATCGCATGTTACACTCAACGAGACAACAATGTCCCCATCCCAGAGAGAACGAAATCAAAAGGCCGGATTGCAACTTGACCCTAGAGGGGTATAAAAGGGAATAAAATATATCTGGTGCCCCTTTGAGCAGAATTCACTTCAAGCGCAGGGGTGGGGGAGTTGAGAGGGCATCTCCCCAGTGCCTGCTCCACCAGCTAAGCAGAGAGGAAAGACATGAGAAAGGCTCCACTTGCCTCTGCTCACATGCCAGAGTGTGCAGAAGGAATAGAGGACGAATAATCTGCTTATTTTTGACAGCAGGAAAGGCAGACTGGGTATTGTATGGCTATATTGTATGCGGAGGTACAAAAGTTCTTCCACCTTCCTGTGTTCAGCTGCATGCGTATGTATTCCAGGCAGAACCCATTTAGAAAGAGACAATAAGAAATGATAGAACACTTATAAAAGACAAAGAAAAAGCACAAATCCTGCCTAAGAACCCACAAAACTTTTCCTAAGACACAGCATGCAAGACATCATGTTTGACTTAAATTTCTGATTAAATAAATACATTCTGCCTACCTAAAATTAATCTCTTGTTTTGATTTGATGAATGCATCACTCTTGGTTTTGATTTGGTGCAATGAAGAAGATTCTATTAAAACAGAATTTGTATGTGGTAAAATTCATTTAAGAAATAATGAGATGTATGTGTGTCTCCCTAGTTTCCAAGAAGAAACCCGTGGCTTTACCCCTACGGCCTAAGCCTCCTGCAGAAGGCTGTTACCGTAATCCTGCCTGGCTCTTCCTGCCTGCAATGCTGCGAGGATGTGGGGCACTGGCAGCTGGAGGGGCGGGGAACTGGTTTTCAGGTGAGGGGGATGGCGATTTATGCCAAAGAATTGGCGTGCAGCCTTACTTTGACCATTCGTATCTCACCAATACAAACCAAGGCAGATAATTGCAGCATTTATAACTCTTCAAGAAATTACTACCCTAGATAATCCATTTACATGCTTTTGTTTCAATATGATCTGAAGACACGTTCAGAAGTTATCACTTCCAGCTGGACCACCTATTTTCCAACATCAACAAAAATCAGACACAATGTGGAAGAGGAAAGAAGTGCCAGCGCTGCGTTCGATGTCATAGCACGCAGACAAGTATTGTTCCCAGTCAAAACTTCAGGGTCATTTAAGTAGTTATTTAAATTGCGTACAGAGATAACGTGAGCTGGGAGTCAGACTGATGACTATGTGTAGACTGGTGATCCCCAGCCTTTTCTGACCTTGGACAATAACTCGCTCAGCGTTAAGCGTTGTGGGCAGAATCATACTTTACTCTCCCTAATGGCTTTCAGCTTTAACTTTTTAATTTCCTGTAGGTCTCAGCAGCACGAGAAGGTCTCCCAAGCTTTATGTTGCTCACTAACCCGTGAGCCGTGGACCGGGGACTCATGAGTGAGGGGTGGTGGATGAAGTATTACCCGAGTTGGCTGCTGATTTCCCTGCTTGTTATGGTTTTGGGGGGCGGGATACGGAGCCTTCCAATCCTAACTGCGTGTGGGCTTCTCTTCTTCGTGGAAACAACATTAATACTTATGAGCCTGCTTACAGGTGCGCACGTACACGCACACACAGCCTCCAGGTGTACCGCTGACAAAATTACGCGTCCTCGGAACATCTGACCGTTATTTCTGCTTTCTCATTTAAATCCAACAACATTGCCAGGATGGGGTGGAACGTGAAGAAGTTCCCGAAGCAGAACGGGCCAGCTGAGAGCCTCCCCCAGAGCAGCATGAGTCCGCGGCCACCCCCGAGCCCTAACAGAGAATATTAAATAATAATAACAACAAATGTCTGTAGAAGTTCCCTCGTGCCCGCAGCTCCAGCGGAGTTCCCTCTCCCCTCTAGAAATA